GGGACATGGTTGCTGCAACAATGCACATAGAAATTATTGAGCTATAGTAACGATATCTGGTTGTTTCAACTAAATAACGCGCAACTATATTGATATGGTTAATGTACCAAAGTAATTTGATTTTTATCAACCACATTAGCATCACACAAAGATAACTAGAGTGATGCAACTATGCTGCTCATAACTAAATATTATGTATCATATATATTTTTTTTCATTTGTCTATCTGGGTATGTTCAGCAGGTGATTTTTATAAATTTCGTGAGATTATAGCATGTCTACACATGTGGCTATACAGAGAGTAAACTATACACTTATTGACATCTTTCTTAATCATTGGCGCTCTAGAAAAACTTGGTTCTTCATATAACCGGTATTGTATTTAAGTTTCTTATCTTAATTTTATGATATTTATGATTTTATATTCCAAGAGAAATCTTCGCAGTTAAAACTATGAAAAAATACCACTAGTCGCCAGGAAACCAGGTTTATAGCTATGTGTCAGCATTGTAATATTCGCAGAAGAAAGTCTTGTCTTTCCGAAAAATTTAATCGTTAACTCATCGAACGCCATCGTGATTTCTCCGACCTCCTTCGTCTCGAAGGTACGACACGAGAGTCCTATCGGATTCCCGATACTTCTGATTACGTGCTCCGCAAAAATTATTGCGCCTGGCATGGCGTACGGGCTCACAGCGGCGAAGCCAACGTACGAAATGGGCAGAAACAATAACTGGACGAGGGTCAGATTCAATTACAAGAAATCGCTGAACTTCCCCAGCCTTTCCCCAGTCTTTCCTCCTCACTCTCCTTCGCGTAGCCCCCGTTCCGCCAACCCCTTAACCTAATTCTACTTAGGTTTTGCGGGCCGACCGGGCTGCTGTCGAGTGAAGACTAATGTTCGTCTAACTGATCGTTTCCCCGCAACACTGACTCATTTTTGGCGAGAACGAGCCTCGCGGGGATTCTTCCGCTCGGGTTCGCGACGCGAGAGCTTTTACCTGCTTACATCGGCAGAAAATTAATTTGACCAGCGCGAATATGCTCGGTCATCTCGACCCACGATGAGAAAAACTCCGGCTGCCGGCGTAGTTGCGCGTATCTACCGCACATCAAACGTTCTTCCTTTTTCCTTTTATGAACCGCTGACTAATAACGAAAACGTTTCCAACGCGAGCCACATAAATTCTAACATGATAAAGTCAAAGTACCAAAATGCCTAGATATTATCTAACCCTGGACATTCTTATAGTCCTGATTTTTAAATATTTAAACTTTCAATACAGAATATGTAATATATGTTCAATACATACATGTATATATATTCTATGAAAATATCCATATTTAAAAAACAAAACAAGAAGAATGTCTAGAGTTAGGTACATGTTCCAGACACTGGTACTTTTATTTTATACTCTGTGAGGCATTTTTTATTTGAATGACATTCAGGGATCATCTTGATACGAAACTTATGTAAGCATACAATTGTTTAAATACATTTTACAGCTGTGGAGCTTTTACTACACGTAGTAATGTTTCTGACAATTTTTCAACTTATTCAGAGGAAACACAATTTCATAATTAATATTTTATAAACCTTAATATATACTTAAAGAATCATTGATACGCGTTTTGTGAAACATTGCTCCGTAATATTGGAATCGAGATGAATGTTATTTTGGATTTTTCATTTTTGGTCGCTTATTCTTTATGAGTACACGTTGTACCATTTTATTATTTCCATTGAGCATTTCTAGCTCTTTTGTTTATCACAGGTTTATCATTTTAGAACAGGTAAATAGCAATTAATTTTGGCGTATTGCTTTTAAGTGTTCTGTATATGTTTTTCAATGGCGTAGTTGTTGACGAACCGTTAGTCTCAGCACTTTCAACTTTAAAATTAATTGCTAACGAACAAGTAGGAATCGAGATCAATGTTATTTTGGATTTTCCATTTTTGGTCGCTCATTCTTTATGAATATACGTTGTATTATTTTTCAGAACCACTGAGCATTTCTGGCTCTTTTGTTTACCATGTTTTAGAACAAGTAAATAGCAATTAATTTTGGCGTATTGATTTTAAGTGTTCTATATATATTTTTTAATAACGTGGTTGTTGGCGAACCATTAGTCTCAGCACCTTCAACTTTAAAATTAATCGCTAACGAATAAGAGCAATAAATGTGAGATTGCAGTGACTAATTGACAACTAATTGGCACGTAATTACGCGATAGGTGCGAATATGGTTTTCAATGGGGCGGGTGCTAAGTTAACCGAATCACGTCGTCGGCGGCTTGGAAACTTGCCGCCCTTGCGACATGTCGTGAGGGAGCTATCAGGAAATCAGAACCGGGCACGACACAGAGCTCGCGATATGAGCGCATGGAAGCAGGTATACAGTCGATTCGCAACATTGCACGCTCCGATATTGCCCGAGATGAGGGCTGTATTTAATGGAGGCCGTAAATAGCCGAACGGTAGAAAAATCGACGGGCGGCACATAAATTATTGCAGAGCGGTTACCCCCGGAGTTTGTAAATTATATTCCAGACTGGCGAGCCTGCTACGCGCGCGTGATTGGCTACGGTCAACGAGCCGTAAACCTGCCCTTCGTAGATTTCCTGGGTTAGTTGCATCAAAGCCGACGGTAAAATCGTAGACAGGCTGCAGTGCCGCTTCGTCGATTCCGATCGGTGTATCGATCGGGACTTTTTCAAACGCGCGGGTGATTCAAGAGTCGCGTGATCGAAAGTTCCCGAGAGAAAGAAAGAGAGAGAGAGAGAGAGAGAGAGAGAGAGAGAGAGAGAGAGAGAAGTGAGAAAGGGAGACAGATCTATCGAGAGGCATCAGGATCTTGCGTAAACTCGGCCCGACCATCGACAACGATAACGGCGCTTAGAAAGTTTTAATTAATGTTTTTCAACAGCGAAGAATGGAAATTGACTAGCCAAGCATGAAAATGATTACAAAGTCGATGACTGGAGAATAATTTGTCCGCCTCCGACGTAACTATCCTGTCAATATTTGTTACCCCGCTCGTAATTCATTTCAATGAAAATCGTTTTTAAAGCGTCTATTTGTATTACACGATTTTTCAGCGTTCCCGCGGAAAGAGCGGTCCGTATGAAATATGTTTTCGCGAAATGTATACATTATTCAAACACTATTTCCTTCCGAGCAGCGAGTGATATTAAATGATATCGATATCGTGACGGCGCGTATCAGTCCGGCCCGACCATGTGTGTGTGTGTGTGTGCATTGCTCCGACAAGAATCCGTCCACGACACCTGCTGCGCAGGTATACAAATTTCTCCACTGGATTATTTTTCTGTTAACTCGTTGCGAGAAATTATGCCCTGCCTATTTAATATAGTTACGCGCGCGCGATATTTCTACGGACGGATTGCGGAACATTTCGACGAAATATCTATTTAACTCCGCGATATATCGCCGGCGATTTATACTTCAGTTGCAACATTATTGCGCAATTCTTCTCTCGCAAAAGCACATTTTTTTCCCCGGATTTCGTGCGCGCTCGATATTAACAAGACACCCCGTTCGCAGTTCGACGAAGTGTTCATTCGCGGCGCGAACGATTTTCACCGGCGGCCCGGACCGGAGAAACCGGTTACGCAACGCTGCCAGGCAGAAATTACAGCTGGATCGCAACAACGCCGCAAACGCAAATCAATCCAAAATCGCCTCCATCAACTGCCAGCTGCAGAATTTTGCACGCCAAGTGTCACGCACACGTTCGAATCCGCATCGCCGCTAAATTCGCCGGGGCCAGATATGGCAATCTCGTAACAAGCGCAACTTTCCGTTCCGTGTCTGCATCGAGCGGCATACGTGGATTCCAGCACCATCGGCGTAATTAATATCCGCCCAACGATGCGATCGTCATGCTGTAGTCGTTCTCGCCGTTTGCTCAACCGCTTGAGTCCTACGAATAGTTACGGACTACACTCGAAAAGTGCCGAGCGGCGTGATTGCGCTTTTGTTGCCTTTTATTTTTCAAATAAGTTGTAACAAAGATTACGAGAATGTGACAGAATATAGCTTTAGTCAAGTCTCTTTGAGAGTTATAACAATTATAAGCGACGGTGTATGTGTGTGTGTGCGCTCTGCACGGACAATCTGAGCGCATTGAAAGTGCGCCCTTTTGGAGAACATTTCTCGTCTACTGCGGCGATGAACACTTTCCAAGTAAGACAGGAGCAGCGCAATCGCGCTACGTGACACTCAAACAGTTGAATTCCGCTCGCTGCAGTTGTACAAAGTCATACCCGCGAGCTGCAAACTCGATCGTTTCGGATCGAGTCTCTTCAAGCACGGCAATCACGTTTTACCTAAATTCCTACTTCTCACTGCTGGCCCGCAATGTCTCTCTTTCTCTCTCTTTCTGTCTCTCTCCGATCCTGCGAAGTATAAACATTGATATCTCGGCTTTTACCGTTTTCCCATGAGCGCTTCACGATCAAAGACACCGCGAGTCTCATAGAGATCGTCTGTGAGGATCAGCGTGTCCAGCCAGACGACTTTCGTGCGCGCGCGCGCGTAATTAGCACTAATTACCCGCAAGTGGCGGGCTCGCGGGCTCGGGCCTCGTCTATCGAGCACATACATCGCGATTCACGACCTATCCTACATGGCTGCCTTTCTCGCTCGCCCTTCGTGTCGCAGACGGACCTAACCTGCGCGACCGAACCGCGCTACAAACTGCATCCAGCATGGAACGAGGCCATGTGCACTAGCGGGCTAGACGGCATAGCGCGAGGGACAGGAGGCCGGGGGGACGCGAGTCGAGAATGCCCATCCTCCTCTGTCCTCTTGGCCACCTTATCCCTGAGGATCCGCGAGCAAGGTTACTCTTGGAGTCGCATCGCCAAGAGCGAGGAGAAACAGGAAAACAAAAAAGAAGGAGAACCAAAGAAGAGAACGACGAAGGGAACGTGAAGAGACGCGGAGAAAGAATCGACTGCTGATGCCGGGAGCTTACCAGGAGTCTGCTAAATCCGGATCGTGAATTCCTCCTCCTCTCTCACTCTCTCGCGCTGGGGTGTGGTTCCTTCGCGTACGGGTGGGGCCAGGATCACCCCACGGGATTAAGGACTTTGGACTTGGCTGGATTCGGGAAGCTCGCGCCCGTGTGCCACCGCGTATGTGCCACCCGATGTCTATATCCGCGTGTGTACGTTTGTACGTTTGTGTCCTCGTGTGTATGATGCCGACAGCCTGCGCGTGTGCACGATGCCGCGCGTCCGCGACGTTAAAGAATGAGAGAGGCAGAAAAGAAGCCGTTGAAAGTATATATACGTGTATGTGCGTGCGCGCGTGTGTATGTGTGCGTGCGTGTATTTGTGTGTGTGTGTGTACGTCACCTCTTTCCTATCCTACTCTCGTCTCTCGCGTTTACACGAACGTCTGTCTTTCCCTGTTTCTCTCTCACCCTCTCCCTCTCTCTCCTCCGTCTAATGCATATGTACCCGTACCGTGTATGTGTACGTGTACGCGCGCCCGATAACGTGTGTATCAGCGTGAACACGCGTGTAACGGTGGAACGCGACGACGACGGGCGGGTTGTACTTTTGGTATACGTGGTGACCGGGACCGACGGGGTGTGTGAAGGTTCGTGGAAGAGAAGTGGAGCAGGATGAGGGGGATCGGCCTAGACAAGGTCCTGCCTTCGCTAGGACATTGTTACTCGTGGTAGCGCGTCGCGACGAAACCCAGCCGCTTCCAGCTCGATCCACCCGCGGAGATCACCCCCGCCTATCTTCGCCGATGTCGATTCCCCGGTGGAGGACCCGCGAAGGTCCTCACCAGAAGGATCCCTCCAGTTGCCGCAGCTATCTCTCAGTCACGTGTCTGGCCGCGCCGCGACATCGTGCACGAGCGCCCTTGGCGATTATCACTACCACCTCCTTCTTCGCCACCCTTCGTGCGGCATCGATTCACCTGGTGCGTGCACCAGCGGCTGACTCGAGCCCTCTGCTCGCACCCTTTGTGCGAAACGGCTCGTCTGTAGGTCGACGCGACGCGACACGACGCGGTTCACAGAAGAAGACGCGCGAGCGCGCGCTCTCGGACGGCGTCGCGGCCAAAGTCGCGGGTGGTTACTCTTGGCGAGGAGCCTCGGCGAACACGCGTAGACGTATAATCCCGGGGATGACGAATCCCCGAAACTCACGACCTTCAGCCTCGCGACCTTCGCGATCGATGGCGGCGCGGGCAAGTCGGCCGAGCGAGCGTGTGTCGCGCTCTCCTTCAACGACGTGCCGACGATCACGGTGAATCGCTGCTGCTGTCACTCGCGTCACTGCTGTCCGGATCGCGTACACACAGCACCGGCCGCGCGTCGATAAACCGCGCGCATTCAACGAGCAGAGGAGACGTCACTCCCGTGGCGTGTCACCCAACTGTCGAAGCACGCGCGCGACTTGCAGCGTTTTTCAGTTTCGGGTCTTCCTTACCGTCGATGTCGGCCGTGTCGGAGAATACGAAGAGAGATAGAGAGAGAGAGAGAGAGAGAGAGAGAGAGAGAGAAGGAGAGAGAGAAGGAGAGGAAGAGAGAGAAAGAAAGAGAGTAAGGAGAGTGATCGCGAAGAGGATGTATGTGTATGTATGTATGTATATATGTGGAGCACCGCGTTCACACGACCCTCGGTCAGACCTGGACACGACGCGACGAGCGGACACGCGACACGATTTCACCAGGTCGCTCGTCGCTGCCGATCGCGAAACCCTGAAGAACGTGTAGCGCGCCGCGAGGAAGTACACCGAGGTGCCGCTTGCCTGGCGATGCTGCGCAGCGCCATGACAGTGTTGGCTTCTCCACCACCGTCCCCACCTAAACAACCCCCCACTGCCGCCGCACCCTCCTACCCGTGCCGTCAGCAACCCCTCGCAACCCCCTGGTATCAACTCCGCGCCCGCCGACACCGCCGCTTCCACCGCGACGACGCTCTCTTCACGCTACCCCTCGCCTCGTTTAGCCACCCCGCAGCACCGCGAACCCCTATCGTCCCTCTCAGCAGACCACCCTGCTTCGGCCCCACCAACGCAATATTGATCGGGCGGAAGGGCGGCATCCAGGAGCGTGACGACTTACCGAGAGCGCCCCGGGGCGATTCCTCCTCCGCCCCACCTCGGCCCTTTTCTGTTTTCTCGGCTTTCTTTTACGGCTTTTTCAGCTCGTCCCACGTACGGGATCATTTTGCGAAATGTTTTCCCGAGGGACGTTCTTTCGTTAATATTTCCCCTGCCCTGGCGGCGTTCATTCTCCGTAGATAAGGTAATGGGAGCTGTGAGAAGACGCGACGCGACGCGGGGGATGAGAAGGAGGAGGAGGAGAGGGATTGGTATCTCGGAAGCCGCACGTGGAGCGCCGCGTGCGGATGAAACCCGAAATTTTGTAGTTACGGATTTATGAAACGGAAATGCACAGCTTTCGCCGGCAGATCGGTGTATCCTTTCTGCACGCCGCGCTAATTACGTTCGGCCGGACGTTTCCATGAGAGGCGATATACCCCACCGTTAATTTGATCGATACTTGACAAACGTCACGCGTTTAAAACTGAATTTTTGCGGAAGATATTTATTTCCCGCCACGTGCGCCTGCGTGCCCGGAGAGTGCCGGGCTAAATATGTTTTCGAATGATTTTAAATAAACCTTCGTTGCGCCTCGACCACGCACGTAATAATTCGCCGGAAACGCGTATGCGCCATGATTAATTATTTCAAGCTCTGATCATTTCGGGAACCACTTCAAAGTCATAGCCAACTACAAATGATTTCGCTATCGTTGATAACTTCATTTCGATTTACACCAATTTGGGCGGAAAGAGAACTCGTTACAAAGTTGAGTTTGCTCTCACACCGCCGCACGGACGGGGAGACTTGGGGTTTGTCTTTTAAAATCAACGAGCCCCCACGGCAGCGGGAGGAAAACTATGTTTTGTCTCGGGATGACGCTCGGCTTTATGACAAGACCAGTCCGCCATCGGCTGTGATTAAAGGACGGAATTGAATCGCGTTCCACAGCGACTTTGAGTAAACTCGCGGACCATAAAAACATATTATTCTCCTTTCGCCGCGACGGACGTACGGCGATAAAAATGATCGGAGGCACTTCCTCGCGAGTGAGTGAAAGAGAGAGAGAGAGAGAGAGCGAGCGAGAGAGAGAGCGAGAGAGAGAGAGAGAGAGAGAGAGAGAGAGAGAGAGAGAGAGAGAGAGCGCATCCCGCTGTGTTATCTTCGTTGGACGGCGACTTCGGTCGAGAGAAGTAAGGGTCGTCGCGCGAATCCCGAGGCGAGGCGTTCTCGAGTGTCGCCCCCGGCGCGGTCATAATTCGATGTCGATCGTACGGAAACGAAACGGGCCAGGACTCGAATTCGCGACCGCGAAATACGACGGCACTGCTTTACATCCCGAGCGATTCGCGCCGGCGAGATACGATTTTTCAGCTTTCATAACTTTGGCATCTGCCGCTCTCGCGGCTGCCGCGTACATAGCGCGAGAAGTAAACAAACATTTGCATAATTTGCTCTCGCTGAGTGTATATTATTTTCTACGGCTCCGGCGGGCCGTGGAGGAGCGCCGAAGAGGAGAGTCGCGACGGTCGAAAGGAGAAGGAGAAAGAGAGAGAGAGAGAGAGAGCCCGCGCCAAGAGCGCGGCGCTAAATTTAATTAAGCACGCACGAGACTTTGCCCGCCAAAAGCCGAGTATGGCTCCTTTCTTAATTTATTCATCCTTAGCGGGGGCCAACGCCGGCGCCGACGGACGTAATTTTGCGAATCTTTCAGAAAGGCTGCCCCATTCAGGCAGCTGCGCGCGATAATGTCGCCGCCATCGCCGCCGCCGCCACCCCGACGTGGTCGTTGTCGTCATCATCGTCGTCCTCGGCAAATAGAACGCTCTAAAATTTTTATACCGTGAGCGTTGTAATTTCGCTACGTTTACGCTTCGTTTATATCCAGACGCGCTGTCGGGATTTCAAGTCAGACGACTCTCGCCTCTTAATTGGACGTACGATTAATAGCAGATTTAATTACACACGCGTAGTATCCGCAGAACGCGAGGAACGTCGCGCGGAGCCGATCCTCCGACAGCGAAGTACCGGGTATTAGGATTAGTATGCATATGCATACGCGCCTGGGTGCGAGCGGGCATTAATAGCACGGCTACGTGACTCGCCGTGCGATCAAAGGAACTGTTAGACAAAATTTCACGGTACGACCTCGCAAAAATATTAATAGACGTCGTCTGATAGCGGAATCTGAGGGAAGGGCGGGCGGAGGGAGACTGGCGAAAGCAATAGCTTCGCATATTTTCCCCAAGTCAATTTATAACACGAAAATACTCATCGACACAGTCTCATTGACAGCCGCACGCACAGAACACGAATGCTTATCTCGAGTGTGATGCAAAATTGTGTGTGTTATGTGCGATGGGAGATCGTTTTCACTTTACATAAACTTTCAATTAATAGCCGTGTAACAATAATAATTTCAGATTATCACGATTTTCCAGATCAAAAAATAACAGCGATCAACTCTTTGTTATGTAAATTTTTGTTGCTCTCTGTCCATGTAACAAAGCAGCGTCTACGCGAAATTGACGTTATCGTCTCTGAGCTTTTTTCGCACATAACTTTCAAAGCTCGTAGATTATGATAGAATATGACAGTGGAAACAGAGTAACATGAGAATTATTTATATTTCTTCTTGAAGATCATTAATAAAGAGAAAATCGCTTACTGAAAATTACAAAGTTCTATAAAGACAGCATTTCTATATTTTGCGAACTCAAGATATATCTTTCTTTATCATGAGGTTATTAAGTATAATTAACAAGGAATAATTAACAATTATTATTGCATTAAGACATCATACATCACTATAATAGCACCTCTACAAATTATTTGAAATCGTTATTAGAGAATGTAAAAAACTTATGTCGATACAAGCTCTGATTATTTATATATATAAAATAGAATGTCTCTGTCTGTATGTGTTCCCTATAAACTCCTAAACCCTTTAGTCGAACTTATGTATAGTTACTTTCTAGAACTCTACGGAAAATATAGGCTATCGTGAGACCTCAACACTTTAGACCTCTCTCTCCTGATTTTATCCCGTAGACACTTTGTGATAGCGCCGGTTAGTTTAAGCTACTACAGAATAAGTGTTGAGTAATAATTAGCAATCGATATGTGAACTTGGCAAAATTGCATTATTACCATTCAAATCGACGTGTGGATTTTCACCATGTGCCCCGTCGATAATCACGAGAGAAATTAGCGTTGCGAGACGATCGGAATGGAACCGTTTGCTTTAACGTCGCAACGCGTCGAGTTCCTCGGATAGCCGTGGAATATTTTCATCGAATTTCGTTTCGAGCTTCGCGCGTTACAACGGGACGAGCATTTTTGCGCCGCGCCACGTAGACACGTCACGCATAAATGTTGTTGCATATTCCAAGCGCGGGATAAATCGCGCCGCGTGACAAGGGAATGCAAAAACTTTCGCTGTCCCGGTGCTCTCGATACAAAAGCGATGCCGTCGACGTCGGCTCGCGTCGGAATTGTTTCGAGCACTTTACAAGAACGGCGAACTTTTCGAGGGCCCTGAGAGCGGCAGAGATCCCTCCGTGCCATCGCGCTGCCTGTTGTTACCTCGATAAATTTCAAACACGCCCGAGTACTCGCGGAGCGAACGAACGAGAGGCGCGTCCGCCAAACAGAGCCACGGGGAAGGGGAACAATCGCGGTTTTCTCGGAGTCCTCGGCGAATATTTTGAACCACAAATTACCTGGACCCCTCGACGCTTGGTCCGATTGTCTGGTCGGAGTGATTCCTAAACCGAGCCGAAGTTTTGGGAGTTCTCGGGATACCTAGAGGTCTTGAAACTTACATAGCGCCGTGAGTCGGAGCTAGCACGATTTTGGGATTACTTTCGATGTAGCGTGATCGGATCGAATGTTTCAACGGAGGATTTGCTAATGGACAATGGATACTAGGGTAAAGCGTCCAGCAGCCGGTACTCTGCCTGCTTTCGACACTTTTGCGTGGATTTGATCAAAAATTGAACTGTATGAGAATTGAATAAATAACGAAATAACAAAAAATATATGACACAATAAACAATCGCAAACCCACGCAAAGTGAATCGAAACATACCGTATTCACAAATCCCGAAACAAGTCCCGAAAAATTAACTAGACGTTTTGATCGTCATTCTGATCCTCCTCAGAGTGAGAATAGAAAGAAGAAATAATGTGTTAGGCGACTATGAGCTTACCATGATGAATATTGAGAGGACACACTTCATATTTAAAAAATGGCATGAGTGTTCTCATGGGGTATTCTGGTATTCTACATTGGTGGTAAGCCTGTAGTTACGTAATATTTGGTGTATTATTTTTAGTTTTCACATTTCCACTGAAGAGGCGCGGGACGAAACGTTTGGTTGATGCTTCAAGACGTTCAATACTCCAATTCGCGATTCATTTATAGATATAGCGTGTTTCGCAATCGACATTTTGCGTGGGCAATTATTGGCTTTTTATTCAGTCTATGTTTGATTATACTGAGGGCTTTTTATTTGATAATAAATTCTGTATAAGTCCCTACACACACCTTAATATTTGATAAACTACGAGCAAAAGTGCCGAAAACTATAGCGCCGTAACGAGTGCCGGCTGTTGGGCGTTTTCCCCTATATATGAAATCAATCTGTGTGTATCCAGAATGACACAGATATGCAATTTCACAATCGCGCCACGTACTCGCCAGAGTGTGCACACACGCCGAAAA